CTCCTCAAACTACGGTCATCACCGGTAATTATCCCGATTATTGTCACTTCGGGGTTAACGGATCATAACACATAATAGGTGACTATAGACTTGCAAGATAGGATCAAGAACTCGCATATATTCATGAAAACATAATAGGTTCAGATCTGAAATCATGGCACTCGGGCCCTAGTGGCAAGCATTAAGCATAGCAAAGTCATAGCAACATCAATCTCAGAACATAGTGGATACTAGGGATCAAACCCTAACAAAACTAACTTGATTACATGGTAAATCTCATCCAACCCATCACTGTCCAGCAAGCCTACGATGGAATTACTCACGCACGGCGGTGATCATCATGAAATTGATGATGGAGGATGGTTGATGATGACGACGGCGACGGATCCCCCTCTCCGGAGCCCCAAACGGACTCCAGATCAGCCCTCCCGATAGAGATTAGGGCTTGGCGGCGGCTCTATATCGTAAAACGCGATAAATCTTTCTCTCTGATTTTTTTTCTCCGCGAACGTGAATATATGGAGTTGGAGTTGAGGTCGGTGGAGGTCTAGGGGGCCCACGTGGTAGGGGCGCGCCCTAGGGGGGGGGCACCCTCGTGGACAGAGTGTGGGCCCCCTGACATTGATTCTTTCGCCAATATTTTTTATTAATACCAAAAGTTGCTCCGTAGATTTTCAGGTCATTCCGAGAACATTTATTTCTGCACAAAAATAACATCATGGAAGTTCTGCTGAAAACAGCGTCAGTCCGGGTTAGTTCCATTCAAATCATGCAAGTTAGAGTCCAAAACAAGGGCAAAAGTGTTTGAAAAAGTAGATACGATGGAGACGTATCAATCGGGTCCAATGAAAATCTTTTGTGACAATACTGATGCAATTACCTTGGCAAAGGAATCCAGATTTCACAAGAGAACCAAGCACATCAAGAGACGCTTCAATTCCATCCGTCATCAAGTGTCGGAGGGGGACATAGAGATTTGCAAGATACATATGGATCTGAATGTTGCAGACCCGTTGACTAAGTCTCTTCCACGAGCAAAACATGATCAACACCAAAACTCCATGGGTGTTAGAATCATTACTTTGTAACCTAGATTATTGACTCTAGTGCAAGTGGGAGACTAAAAGAAATATGCCCTACAGGCAATAATAAAGTTATTATTCGTTTCCTTATTTCATGATAAATGTTTATTATTCATGCTAGAATTGTATTAACTGGAAACTTAGTACATGTGTGAATACATAGACAAAACATAGTGTCCCCTAGTATGCCTCTACTTGACTAGCTCGTTAATCAAAGATGGCTATGTTTCCTAACCATAGACATGTGTTGTCATTTGATAAACGGCGTCACATCACTAGGAGAATGATGTGATGGACATGACCCATCCGTTAGCTTAGCATTATGATCGTTACAGTTTCATTGATACTGCTTTCTTCATGACTTATACATGTTCCTCAGACTATGAGATTATGCAACTCCCGAATACCGGAGGAACACCTTGTGTGCTATCAAACGTCACAACGTAAATGGGTGATTATAAAGATGCTCTATAGGTGTCTCTGAAGGTGTTTTGTTGGGTTGGCATAGATCGAGATTAGGATTTGTCATTCCGTGTTTCGGAGAGGTATCTCTGGGCCCTCTCGGTAATGCTCATCACTATAAACCTTGCAAGCATTGTGACTAATGAGTTAGTTGCGGATGAAATATTACGGAACGAGTAAAGGGACTTGGCGGTAACGAGATTGAACTATGTATGATGATACCGACGATCGAATCTCAGGCAAGTAACATACCGATGACAAAGGGAACAACGAATATTGTTATGCGGTTTGACTGATAAAGATCTTCGTAGAATATGTAGGAGCCAATATGAGCTTCCAAGTTCCGCTATTGGTTATTGACCGGAGATGTGTCTCGGTCATGTCTACATAATTCTCGAACTCGTAGGGTCCGCACGCTTAATGTTCGATGACGATATGTATTATGAGTTATGTGTTTTGGATGACCGAAGTTTTTTCGGAGTCTCGGATGAGATCGCGGATGTGACGAGGAGTCTCAAAATGGTCGAGACATAAAGATTGATATATTGGACCATGCTATTCGAACACCGGAAGAGTTTCGGGAAGTTTCGGGTAAAACCGGAGTGCCGGAGGGGTTATCGGAACCCCCCGGGGGAACTAATGGGCCACCATGGGCCTTAGTGGAGAGAGAGGAGAGCAGCCAGGGCAGGCCACGCCCCCCCCCTTGGAGTCCGAATAGGACAAGGGAAGAGGGGCGGCGCCCCCCTTTCCTACTCCCTCTCCCTCCCCTTCCTTCCCCCTCTCTCCCTTGTGATGGAATCCTACTAGGACTAGTAGTCCTAGTAGGACTCCCTCGCCTTGGGCGCGCCTCTAGGAGCCGGGCGGCCTCCCCCTTGCTCCTTTATATACGGGGGGTAGGGGGGCACCCTAGAACACACAAGTTTCTCTTAACCGTGTGCGGTGCCCCCATCCGCAGTTACACATCTCGATCATACCATCATAGTGCTTAGACGAAGCCCTGCACCAGTAGCATCATCAGCACCGTCGCTACGCCGTCGTGTTGATGAAACTCACCCTCGTCCTCAACTGGATCAAGAGCACGAGGGACGTCATCGAGTTGAATGTGTGCTGAACATGGAGGTGCCGTGCATTCGGTACTTGATCGGTTGGATCGCGAAGAAGTTCGACTACATCAACCGCGTTATTGAAACGCTTCCGCTTTCGGTCTATGAGCGTATGTGGACACACTCTCCCCTCTCGTTGCTATGCATCACCTAGATAGATCTTGCGTGATCGTAGATTTTTTTTTTTTGAAATTACCGCGTTCCCCGACACAAAGAACCCGGCACGTCCGCGGGCGCCGCCGGCAACAAGGAAGAGTATTGCACGGTAGGTCGCCATCGCTCGTGTCTCCGGAAGGCCACCGCTCCTCCCCTCCCATCGACGCCAAGCTTGGTGGGCTGAGCATCTTCGGACGACTAGTCGCTTGGCGACGATGTGGAGACAGATAACTTCAGTTCCCGAGGCTCCGGAGGCGGAGCCAGAGAGCGCCGAGGCGGAACTCGAAACTGTGAAGTTTCAGTTCTCGGGGTTGATGGCCGAACACGGGAACCAAACGCCGGCGGTCATTTAGATAAGGCATTTAGATTAGATATTAATTATACCTCAAGCCCACCTAGCACCGCTTTGATGTATTTATAATAAAATCCGTCATGTTTATATGAAATAAATGATCAGGCATTTAGATAAGGTATTAATTATACCTCAGAGCCCACCTAGCACCACTTTATATGAAATAAATGATCAGGCATTTAGATAAGGTATTAATTATACCTCAGAGCCCACCTAGCACCACTTTGATGTATTTGTAATGAAATCCAGACTTGTTTGAACGTATATCGTCCAATTGCTTCAAATTGTTGTGAAAGTGTATGCGGGTACGGTTGGATTACTGTTGGATGACTACCTTCCGCATCCGTGTCCGCGGATTGGTCCCTGTCCGGATGGATGCGGGAGGAAATTTGTGGTTGCCGTTGGAGATGCGCATTGTCTAAATCTTTATATACACAATGGTCTCCAGCAGCATGTGAATATCTTCAGCCCAACTCAAGTTATTTATAACGCCGCAAAAAAAAACTCAAGTTATTTATCTATAAACATGGAGGTTATATAAATAGACACACGAATCAAGATCTTCTTTCTTGACTACATATTTTGTACTACTCCCTCCGTCCCACAGCTTGCAAAATGGTCTTACATTATGGGATGGAGGGAGTACTTTTTAACAAATTCAATACATAAAAAAAATCACATTTTCTATCCATGAAGTATAAATGAAGAGAAGCATCATGTTTCACACGCACCATAAAGCATCCAGGAGTGAAACAAAATTAACATGAACCAGGGACTTGCTATTATTACAGCAGCTTGGCGCACAAAGATTTAATGCAGGTTGACATGTACGTGTGATGATTTCATCGTTATTGGCACGCTAGCTACAAAGGAAATGGAAACGATATTCAACACCTCATTCTGATGAAGCAGCTTTGCTTCAATCCATCCATGTTCTGCCACTGCTCTAATTTGCGGACTTCCCTCACGCCCTTAGCTCAACATAGGACCCAGAGATCCCTGAGGTACCTATCAGGGTGATCTGCAAGTAAAATAATCACATCAGGAGTAAGGAGTACTGAATAAAAGTATTTTCAACAAGTACAATCCAGGAAGAGAGATGCTATAACTACGGGAGGGCAATATCTACAGAATCAGTTGTACAGGCTGGTTTAGCAAGATTTGGTAGGCTTCATGTAATGGCCAGTTTGTAGTGGTTATGGGATATATATTGGGAAAAAATGTAGAGGACAAGACAACGCCTGGCCGAAATCAGCAAAAAATGGCTGTCTTTCATTTATCTTATGCTAAAACATTCGGAAGGCAGACATGTTAGAAGTTACAAACTTGAAAACGAGTACAAATTAGCCCGAACCGAGGTAATTCGGACTAAACTCAATAACCAGGATTTGCCTGGAGATCACCCAAGAGCTGATTTTATGTACGTGTTGTTAGTTCATTCCAGATAAGAGGAAGGCGTTCTTACGGGGACAAATCAAAGCCCTCTAGGATAAACTGATTAAACACATCAACATATTTCTGGGAAGCATAATTTGTACCAAACTTAGCAAAAGAACTTACATGTGTAGTGGAATTTTTCAGCATGCTTTAAAAATAAAATGAAATGGGTGATGGTCATAGTTGAAGGATACGAGTTTGGTAGACAAATTTCAAGTGTTCTGTCATTAATCTGTTCCATGTATTTCTTTCAAAAAAACTAAACAATACATTCTCCATTTATACGACTCATTTGGTTCACCAAAATAAAGGAAAAACAGAGCCAACTCCAATATACTGTTTAATGTTGCTCTCTTTTTTGTGACAAAAATAGAAGAAATAGCAAAAACTACCTCAGCTAAAACATCTTTAGGAGTATGATAATACTATATACACGCCAACAGTAAAAGGCAACCGCTGAACATCATCCTAAACGAACTAAAAAAAATGCCCATCATAGCACATACAACACTGTTTGACTGAGAAAGGCATGGATGTCTCAAACATACAAGTTCTACAGCAAAAGCTGGTATTGAATTAACCATACTGGTAGGGCAAGTAACATTCAGAATGGACTTACCTTTCCCCACTCGGATCCTATGCCACTGCATCTCATTTTAAGGTGAATCATTTTGGTACCCAACTCATTTTCCACCTTCTTTCGTAGAAAATGTTCATCAGGCCCAAAGGATTCCAGATATGTCATGTACCTATTATATGTGGACTTAACAGCATCTTCTACATAACCAGGCAAAGGGCCCACGTTCTGCAAGAGTTAGGCTTGGTAAGAGTTCAAACTCAGCAGTACATGAACGAGGGAATAGAGACAATTAAGTACCAACCTCGCCTGTTAGACCACAAAGATCATCCAGGGCCATTCTTAGGGTAACTAAAACTCCACCAAATTCTTCACATGCCTCAGCTGCACGAAATACATTTTTCAAAGCCTCTTGACCTGCTGCATCATCAGTGGATTTGGATACTGTTTTCTTTGCTTCCTCTACAAGAGAATGTGGAAGTTCACTCCAGCTCGCAGCCATCAAATCCTTAAGAGCAGATTCAATTTGTGGGTCAGACATTGCAGGCATATGTTTTTCATTTGAACTGAGCAAGCGCCTGAAGTTCCATGAGAAAGCATTGTAGCCACCTTTACAACATGCAAAATTTAATCAACAATGAGCACAGGGGATAATACATGAGCACAAGTACCACTGCACAGAAACGAAGACTGATAAGGAAAAGCATTATTGATGCCTTACAATTTATACCGGTATTACAGATAGTTTTTAAGTGGAGCACCTATATGAGCACAAGTATAAGTTTGACTAAGGACGGTACAATACTAGCATTGCAGAGATATGAAGACTGATAAGGATATGCATTATTGAAACCTTGCAATTTATACCAGTGTTACGGATATTTTTTAAGTTGGAGGCACCTAAATGAGCACAAGTATAAGTTTGACTAAAGTACAATATTAGCATTGCAGAGATATGAAGACCGATAAGGATAAGCATCATTGACACTTTGAAATTTACAGACTAAGGCTATGATTTTGTTTTTCATCTTGTTGCTTTACAACCAAAGTAAAATCTCGCAAGCCAAAAAAAGAGTCATTCTTGCTTGAAGCAACATCAGAATTCAGAACCACACATAGGTATTGTACAATTAAGTGCTAAATTCAACATTTGATGCAACAGTAGCAGGAACACTTCAAGACAACACGTATGAGCCGTCATCTGGCATGTTATACCTGCTGCAAACTGTAAACACTGTCTACCGTAGTACCGTAAACATCTGTATACGACAACTAACATTCTCTAGTGATACTATAACCATGATATCATGGACATCCCCAATCTTCTATTTCTTCAACTACCTTTGTAACACATTTTCCCAATTCACAATAGCTTCGCGTCCCCACACCAGAGTACTAGCGTATCAAAATTGAAATATTTGTAGCAATAAGGTTCAAAATAAAATCCGTACCAATTAAAATACTGCCGCACTTACAATCTACGAACAGCCTAAACAAGCGAGCGAACCGGACGGGATCCTAAGTAGAGACTGGCGCAAATCCGGACACAAACGTATGATACTTTCGAGAGCAACCAACAAGATGCGATGCGAGGACGACCTGAGATGGCGGTGATCGAGGGAGAGAAAGGCGGCACCGTAGCAGGACGTGAGGCGTACGGGAGCGTTGACAAGGTGGACCGGGAGATGCGGAGGAAGCGGTGCACGGCGGCAGCGGAAGAGGAGCGGAGGGCGGTGGCCATCGCCGGTGTCTGGACCCGGTGGAGATTGCAGCGAGATGGGGACGATCGTGAACAATTGTTTTTTTAGGGGGAGTGTTAAGCCCGTCGTAGTGCCATTTTCTTTTGTGGGCCTTAAGAAGAATCTTGATTAACCTTTTTTTTTAGACATGAATCTTGATTAACTGGACTGAATTGGGCTGGCCATATAGCACATGGCCCGTGTAGAACCTTTGCAGGAAGGTGCAGAACAAAACATTAAAAAAAATCTCAAAACAATAAACATATAAAAAAAGGGATGTAGAAAGGAAAAAGACACATCACAAAAATCTTCTATTCCTAAATAGCTACAACTCACTATTTTCCTAGATTTGCAACCATGCTATATAAGCAAGTCATAAATTGCATTGCTTTTGCATTATTTTATGTGCATGCGGCGCGTCACGCCATCAATTCATGCATGTTAGTCATAAGTAATTTTTTTGCATTGAATTTTGTATTGACAGTACGTTTTGGGGTTGATATGTATGTAGTTAAATTTCACATTTTTCTCAGAAATGACATTCTTTTAGTTGCAATCAATTTTCTTCTTCTTCTTTTTATACCCTATGTATTTTATTTTTATTTTAAAGCATACATGTGTTTCCCATTAGTTTTACACATAGTTCTGCAGCAACCTTTATAATTTTTTAGCAAGGTTCCGTAGCAACGAGCTGGGCATTATCTACTTAGTAAAAGGATGCGAAAAAACGCTAACGTTTGCTTTAGGGTTAGATGAAGAAACATTTGCTCCAAGGTCGCAAACGGGAATGATCGTATGCGCTAGGAGGCTCAACAAAGTGAACATAAAACTTACGCACCAGAAGTCTGTTGTGCGTGAAGGTGTGTGGTTAGATGATTGTGAGAGAAAAAATGCCTCTACGATGAGAGCGAGTATGATGGATTCAACTTGCTGCCTCAACCCCACTATCAAGCAACACCCTCTTCCTTGCCCACCTTCTTCTTTCCCAAGGAAAAAACCTCTCTTTTTGTCTCCCTCTATCTTGTTGTTCTTCTCCTCCTCTGCTCCATCATAGTGGCCCCAAGTCCATCGTCGCTCGCCCTCCTCTTATGAATCCGTCGTTGCACCTCCAATATCCGGGTACAAAACAAACAACAACCCCTCCCTCGATTCCCTCTGATCTCAAGCGAATTCAACCAAAAAACAGATGGATTTGACATAGGATATGCCATGGTGATTAAGAAAAGAAGAATGAAGGCATAGTAGAGAAAAGTTGCAAGGCAAAATCGCATAGCTTTGCCAGGAAAGAGAGAAGAATTGTTTGATCCCCCTCACTAGTAGAAAACATGGCTTTGATTGAGACCTGGGTAAGGGCATTAATCCCGGTTCACTCATGAACCGGGACCAAAGGGGGCATCAGTCCCGGTTCATGAGGCCAGGGCGCCGGTCGGGCCTCGGGGGCCATTGGTCCCGGTTCATCTGACCCCTTTGGTCCCAGTTCCAGACACGAATCGGGACCATGGGCCTCGCTACTGGCCCACCACCATTAGTTCCGGTTGGTGGCCTGAACGGGGACCAAAGGGTGTCCTTTAGTCCCGGTTTTAGCCACAAACCGGGACTAAAGAGAGGCCTATATATACCCCCCCCCCGCCCCTGCCCGAGAACAGAGCCACTGCTCTGTTTATTTGGCCGGCCGTGGGAGAGATTTGTGGTGCTCTAGCTCACCACCTATGCACATGAGGTGTTCGATGAAATGCCCGAGCCACACTTAAGCTTTCTCCTTTTGAAGCTCCTTGTCCAAGCTCCATTTTCCTCAAGATTTGTCTAGGTTTGGCGGTCCGTCCTGTCCCGTCCCTGTCCTCACCATCGTCGATTGCCCGCGTCGATCTCTTTGTCGTCACCACCGTGGTGAGCCTCTTGTTCTTATCTTCTTTCTAAAAGAAAAAAATTCTTACTTGTATGATTTAGATAGATACTTGTATAATGTTCTTACTTTTATTATTGTTTGTTATTATATAGTGTGATGGTTTTAGTATCTGCCTCCGTCGGCCCTTGTCCTGTCTATGATTCGGATGTGGTATATATTATCTTTTATAACTATTTGCTTCATTTAGTGTTTATGAAAATTATGCCGACCAACGTGACATGGATGTTTTTATCTAGGAGGTATGTGAACCAGAAATTCTAACCGAGCCTATTGTCGAGAGGTTAAATTTAGTTGAAAAAGAAAACAATTACTTGATGAAAAAATTGAAAAAAATTGAGGAGGAGATGATGAAATTGGAGTTGTATGTTGCGGATGTCGTCGATGATCACAAGATCAAGATGGATGCAATGCTCTTGAAGATTAGAAAATATGTCATTCATACTGAGGCTTGGTATCATTATGCCGTTGGATCAATTATTACCTTAGTTGCGATTATGATTGCATTTGTTGTTGCATTGAAATGTTTTACATAGTTTCAGTGTATGGTTTAATTAGATGCTCTAGCGAGCTATATGTTGTTCAGTGAGAACTATGTATGAACTTTATGTATTTATTTTTTCAATAACAACATTTGATCACTACTGTACTTTGGTTTTAATGTGATTATGAACTTCTTTAATTTGGTCACTTCTCTATTCATGATGTTCTGTAATGGTTTTTGACACACTTAATTATATATAATGTACGCAGATGAACCGGCAATGAGTAGGATATGAACATGATAACCCACAAGTATATGAGATCGCAATAGTTTTCGAGGGTAGAGTATTCAACCCAAATTTATAGATTCGACACAAGGGAAGCCAAAGAATATTGGCAAGTATTAGCAGCTGAGTTGTCAATTCAACCACACCTGGAGATTAATTATCTGCAACAAAGTTGTCATGGAATTGTCACGGCAGATGCCCTAGCATGAGGACTTAGGTGTGGAGCCATCACTATGAGGTTCGCTTGAAGGGGTTAAAATGGGACAAGGGACACAGAGAGTTTGTAAGTGCATCTAGTGCCCCTTAGTGATTTTGGTGTATTGAAGACTTATAGGTTAAGGGACTAATATGTTTGTGAGTGTACACAAGCTCTATAAGTCGATGAGGAGTTTGATATTTACGATAAAAGTCGACCCCTAAAAAATGTATGTCTTCAGCTGAAGACTTTGGTTCTCCTGAAGATTTTGAAAGTGAAGAAATTGGTGTGACCTTGAAGACTTGGATATTCATGCGAGGATTATGAAGCGTGAAGACTTTTGTTTTCGTAGTTTCATTTTCTCTTTCCTGAGTCATAGGAAACATCGTACTGTTAAAGGGGGTTGAGGGAATACTAAGGAAACTGTTTTCCAAGTGATGCTCATCTCAAAATCTTACACCTACCCAATCCTTTCGAGTGAAGCCATTGAAAATCTCACATCAGTTCAGTCAATTTCTTCAGTGACAGAGACGAAGATCTTCTGGTCTCTGAGAAATTTGTTCTGACTGAGGAGTTAGGAATTCGCTAGTGCGGATTGCCTACACAGTGAGGAACATGATAGCCCTGAGGAATTTGAACCTCAAATATCCGACTGTTGCTGTGCTATGCGCCAGCTGTCCAAAATATCTACCCACCTAATGGTCATATCATTGAAGGGCATTTATGTCTTATCATGTCGGGTTGCTCCCTAGGCTATAAATAGCCGCCCCCTACAACCACTAGTTGGTTAGCTGCTCCGAGAGAAACTGACACTTGTCACTGAGAGCATCCCATCCTCCGAGGACTTTGAGCGAAAATCATCAAGTGAGGAAAACCCAAAACCCAAACCCAAACACCTACAAACCCAAAGTGATTGAGCATCACTGAAGAGACTGTTCCTGTGTGGGATCGATGCTTGTTACCTTTGAGGATTGTGTATCCTCCAGACGGTTAGGCGTCATGGTCGGAGCATCCAAGAGGAATTGTGGATCGCCAAGTGACCAAGTCTGTGAAGGTTTGGAAGTCACCTGAAGACTTACCACGAGTGTTGGGCGAGGTCTGTGTGACTTTAGCTCAAGGAGAATACGGTGAGGACTATGTGTCCGGGACTGTGTGTCCTTGAGTTTAAATACTCAGTCGCTCCAACCAGACGTACACCTGTCACAGCAGTTGGAACTGGTCTATCAAATCATTATCTTCACAAAGGCAACTGGTTCTATTTCCTCAACCCTTTCATTTCCTCATTCATGTGTTGATGTACCTGATCATTACTGTTTGAAGACTTTGACTGGAGATTTTCTCTAATTTCTCATTCCTAATTCTTGAGTCACTTAGTCTTCAGCCTGCTTATCATGTTATCACGCTATCTGTACTCTGTGCTTGTTTTCATTTCATCATGATGACTATGTTGTTGCTCTGTTCTGTTTATACCTAAGTACTTATTCCGCTGCTAGTGTGTCGTTGCTTAGGAATTTCTTCACCTAGAAATTCCCCAGTGACGATTTGTAAAAATCGCCTATTCACCCCCTCTAGTCGATATAACACATTTTCAATTGGTATCAGAGCAAGGTACTCCCTTGTTATGTGTGATTTTGGTTTAACCACCTGGAGTTCTAGTTATGTCCACTGCATGAATGATCAAGGTCTCGGCCGGGTGTCCTACCTTCGATGGAACAGACTACCCCTACTGGAAGAACAAGGTGCGCATGCATCTTGAGGAAATTGATAACAATCTCTGGTATGTTGTGGAAAATGGTCTTCCCCCAGTCACTCCATCTGTGAATGCTGCTGATGTGAAGAGATTCAAGAAACTCGATTCTCAAGCGAAGAATATCATATGTGGCCATATGAGCAAAGGACAGTACGGCAGAGTGAGTGCTTTGGAAACTGCTAAGCTGATTTGGGACAGGGTGTCCAAGGTCAACGAATGACTCTCCACTCAACATGACTCATTCTTCACAATCTCTTCAACCGCTTCAAAAGACTCGACAACGAAAATGTTCAGCAAACCTTCGATCGCCTCACTGACATCTCAAATGAGCTTCAAGCACTTGGTGCCACTGACATCACCGACCATGAGGTGGTGAAGAAATT